TTTTATCTAACATTTGATCAGTAGAAATTGGCTCCTGCTTATTCAATGGTTTAAAAGGTTGATCATCAATGATCTTGATAGTAGACGTACTTGGTTTCGGAGTAGTCTGCACCAAAGCTGCTGAAATTAGCTTAAATTTTGGCCTAATTGTAGTTACAACTTGGTCAAACAGTTTAAAAATTTGTTGCTCCTTATACTCTTCACTCGGAGCAACCGTACTTTTAACACTGGTTGCTAATTTAGGTTTATAATTTGGCACAGATGGCCTAAAGGGTTCATCCTCAAGAGGCACCAAAGGTTCTTGTCGACTTTCCACTTTTGTTGCCTCAGGAAGTATTGGTCTAAAGGAATCGACATCATCTCCTACAGGTTTCCAAGAATTACTAGAAAAAATCTTTTGGACATCGTAATTTTTTGAGGAGTTTTGTGCCAAGTTGACTTGCCTAGGCATCATGTGATTGTAGGCTAATTTTATAGGTAAAAACTGAAACGGCGGAGGATTTGCGTATTGGTCATCCTGATCCCGGAATTCAGCAACATCATCATTGTTTTCTCTAAAATCTGCATCTGATTCCTCACCATCATTACCATTATTATCAAGGCCATATCCAGTCGAATAATCCTGACTATCTGATGGATTGTACTCGTATTTGAAGGCTTGAGTGGCATTATCGGCTATTGTTTTGTTTTCTGATGTATTAACGCGAACTTTAGCCAAAGTTTGTATTTGTTTTATAGATTGCTCCGACAATTGTCAACTTTTGGCTGATTTGGAGCCGTTGACACTAAGGAAACCGACAGCAACCACACTGCCAAAATTGTGAATATCATTGTTGGTCGATGCATTTTTGCAATTGGACACAAAATTTTTGAAATTGGTGAGCGATTTGTTGAAGATACTGATTTTGGACGTGTGAAGATACTGAATTTCGATGCCAATTGTGGAATTTGCACCTATGGTTGGCACCAATGAGGATAAACCAGGATTCTGCCTTCAATTTGCTAAATCAATTCTCTGGAGTAACAAGCAAAATATCCAGTTTATTATAAATATAGGTCTTTTATTATAAATTTGGTGATACCACACTGGTTCTCAAAGTTTCAATAAAATATCCACCAATGGTTCTCAAAGTGGTATTTGGAAATAATTAGATCAAATTCTAAATTGTTGGCACCAGAGTAAATATTATTTGGTAAACGCAGAAGCTCCAAAAACATAGTAATCCAGTTTTTTGTTGCTAAAAACTTCGGACAAATCTTCTGAATCTCAGTGGTTCTCAAAGTTTTATTTAAATCTCAACCACTGGTTTTCAAACTCTGTTTTCGTGAATAAT